TCAAGTGGTATTGGACGACCCTGTCGGATGTAATCCGCAATCTCATCAGGGTAACCCGTGTGTTCGTCGAACAACACATCCACATACTGAAGCATCAATGCCAATATCATTCGCTCGCTTACTCTCCGCTAAGACATGATCTAATGCAATAATAGAGATATTACCTCGGAGCTCTCTAAAATGGGATGGTTTGAACTGGTGTTATACAACAGTTAAACTCTTCTCAAACGATGCCTTAATAGCAACATGTTGCAACTCAAGCAAACTATGGATCTTGGTCCAAGAACACTCAAAATTGACTTGGTTAGAACCAAGTTGCCGTTTCAGTTTTGCATGTGCACTTTCAGCCCTGTGTACAATGGAAACAATTAACATAATCAAGTTTAAATAATCAAAATCGTAATGCGTAATAGTGTAAGGTAGTAAAATATATATTACCTATTGGTGGTAACATTCCCGAAGTGCATACAACTATCTGTCCATACGGCAACAAACTTATCCTTATATGGAATTAACCAACTTTGTGACACATATTGCACTGCCTCAGGATATGTATCAAAATCCGCAAGTAGCCTAGCAAGATGTTCATTGTATTCAAGCTCAGTTGAGGAGAGTACTAAGAAATTCCATAAAGAGATAAACTTGTCCCATTCCTCCTTACTCTTAAACATTTTCTTGCATTTCGCCAGTACATTTCTACTAATATGCCATCTGCATAATAAATGTCGAGATGTAGAAAATACCCTGCCAATAGCATTCATCAAAGCAAGCTCCCTGTCCGTGACAATCACCTCAAGAATAGCAATGTCATCCAAGAGACTACGCAATGTAGTTAACACCCAAACGTAGTTATCAATCCGCTCAAATTGGAGATATGCAAAGGCTACGGAGAATGACATATCAGTGAATGTCACACCAACTATCTCAAGAAGAAGAAGACGACATCAATTTGTCTTATATGTGCAGTCCATGATCAACACTATTGGAAATGAATGGAGCAAATCTAAACTGACAGGATGTGCCTAAAACAAGTCTGTGACAGTCATCGTGTTGTTGTCACTCCTATGCCGCTCAATGTAATTATGCTTTTCTAATTCACGTAACAAATGTTGCATTTGTGATCTCCCATATTTCTCAATAAGATTATTCCTATGACGTACATTGTAAATGGTTTTCATAGTGGTTACATTCAAAGCATCCTTTCGTTTCAATGTAACCAAAATCTCTTTTGGTCTGACCATGTTTTTGGACATATCCACTAATAATGATGTTTCCTCCTCAGATAATCTCCCTACAAATGAATGTCCTTCAAAATGTTTAGCAGGAGCATGGTTATGCATTCCACATGCTACATCTACCATCCAATCATCATCAGCTATCAACTTACGAGCCCTCAACTCAAAGAGACACCCACATTTCTTTATACCCGTTATCTTCACAATTTTTTTGTTTGAATCATCTCCTTTTAATTTCTTATGAGCTCTGTATTGACCACTTCTCTCACAAGCAAGATATATCCTTGGTGTCGTATGACCACCACCATAGTCTGATGTCTTGATGACAATTACAAATCCATTTTTCCTTCCAACGTCCCGTACTCAACCGAGCAATTCTTCTTTGCTCTTGAAAACCTACAAGTCAAATTCAACAAAGTCATTAAACATGAAAAGAAAAAAAACACTAATTTTCAACATGAGACTGCCTCATTAGTAATAAATTGACTCGTGTAGTCAACAAGACCCCCAGATCCAACATCACTGCATTCCACGGATGTACAGTTCTGGAAAAAATATATATATATATATAACTGTTCAGCAGTACAGAGTCGAATTAAATGAAATTGTTGGATTTTTTTAACCGAATATATGAATTATGTTTGACTCTTACCAACCGATTATTTTGATAATGTTCAACCCTAGTAATCCGAACAAATACAACTTGTTCGATTGTAGTTAGTCGAACAATGATACATTATCCACCCCTGGTTAACCGAACTATACCAACGATTTACCACTCATCAAGTAAACGAAAATGACAAAATAAATAAATAAATAAATAAATAACCTTTTCCTTGCTCCATTGTTCCGAATCAGAATTGTTAGATGCATCATTCATTGAATCTGTAACAACCCTCACCTTACTCTTGCCATATTTGCATACATTCTTGCTTGCATGCAGCTTTTATGAATTTAAAGGTTTATCTTGCCTTATTTGCTTAAAGTTGCTGCATGATTTTTCCCTTGCCTAGTGTGTGTGTCTTCTGCCGGAGGCATCTTGAGCTTAGTCCCCTTGACCCTGTACTTAGAAACTATCTTGAGATCTTGTTCAACCCATCTTCACCTCGGGCATTCTTTAGCCGAGATGTTTGCACTTGAACCTTGCCGCAGGCAGTATACCTAGCGAGATGTGGCGCACCCCGGCCCAAGTGTGGCACAGCTTAGTCAAGTGTCATCTCCCTAGCCGATGTTTTCTATCTGTTGCTGATCCTGTTGAGCGATGTCATCTCTTTGCCGATGTGTCTTACCCGAGCTTGCTGCATACGACTTTGTCAGAGCTGTCTTGTCTATCAATCACCTTTTTGGACTGAACCAACCCGATAATTGCCACGTGTCGAGCTGTTTGTTAAAGGCACCGGCAGATCTTGAAACAATCATTTCTTGTCTCAAATCTTGGTCTTAAGAGAGAGCTTATAGAGGAGAAGAAAGAGTTCTTTGAGTAGAGTAATTCTTCCAAGCTTATCCTTATGCTTGAACGTTAGATTCGAGTTTTGAGGTTAGAATCTTATCTCTTTGGTTGTCTTGCTGAATATCTAGCTGCATTGCATGATCTGATTTTGTGCTGATTCATCATCGTTTGAAGCTTGTTTAGAAAGAAAAATGTTTTCATGTGTTCTTGAAGAAAATCTCGTTTTGATCCGAAAGTCTGGAACGAAACCATGTTTTGTGTTGTTCTTGCATGACTTCTTGAATGTTACCCAGGTCCATATTATTTGGGAACTCTTGGCATTGAAAACTCAATTTTTTTTTATAACAATGTGAAACTTGCATCCATTTTCAAAGATCATGTTCTTTCATATCTTCTAAAGGAAACCCAGATTTTCCTAGACTTGTATAACGACCCGCTTAGTCCTAGACGACCCAGTGTGCTCTTAATCTTCTTTGAAACGGGAGCAGTGATTAAGCTCCAGCTTGTTTTTGCTTTGTCTTTGACTCGGATCTTGGCAAGAGTGCCGATATCATTTGCATGTATTTGGAGCTTGCTTTGAGAATGTGACTTGCCATGTGATTGTAGGTCCTTGATATTTTGCTTTGAATCTACACCTGAAGAATAGGTGAGTGTATTATTGATAAAGCTATGTTAACTTGTTTTGATAAATCTTGCTTGCCTTGTTTGACAAAAGTATTTTGTTAGCATGAATAAATTAGCTTTGTTTTGATGTTGCCAGTATACTCCTGTTTTGATGCCATCTTTGGAAAGGATACGGTCCTTGTAAATCGGGCTACGGGCCTAAGTACCAAGTCCCTTGTGCTGGAGGACTCTAAACTTTCGCAGCATAAGATAAAAGGATACGGTCCTTGTTAAATCGGGCTACGGGCCTAGTAACACAAGTCCTTGTGCTGGAGGACTCTAAACTTTCGCGGTACCACAGTGCACAAGTCCTTGTATTGGAGGACTTAATCTTTCGCAATACTTTGACCAAACGATTACGGATCGTACAGCTTACGATACTTGAATTGATGAATACGGGTCATCCTTGTTCGCCGATGTTATGATACTTGAATGATGAATACGGTTCATCCCTTGTCTCGCCCGATGTTATTGATACTTGAATGATGAATACGGTTTCATCCCTTGCTTTGCCGATGTTACGATACTTGATTGATGAATACGGTTCATCCCTTGCCTTGCTAAGTTTGATGTGTTTCGTTTTGAAGGACTCCGGCTTATTCATGCAAACCTTTATTTTTAGTACCATTCACTGAGTTTTTGTACTCACCCCTCTATATTATGTAGGTGGATGAGCAGGACGGCGGCGACGCCTAGATCGTTTGGGATGCTTGTTTTGGATTCATGCTTATGTCGGCTCACTTTGTATTATGTCGGCAATGCCTGCTTTGCCATGTCGGCAAATCTTGAAAATCATGCTTCTTGACTTGTATTAGCTGTATTTTGTATATGGTCGGCTCGAGAAGCCTTTTGATCAAGATGTAACATGTATTTTTTACCTTGTTGTATTTAAGTTGTGAAGTTAATTGGAATGTTTGGCATTGCTTTGATCTATGGCACAGCTCTTATGGACCACTTGTAATTGATTTATTGCTTCCGCATTTGTGAGCCCCTATATTCATACTCTGATTTGTGTTAGTTTTGAAAGGTTGGCCTTCGGTAATTACGATTACTGGCCATCACGGCACCAAACTACTAGGGGCGGTTTGGATCTGTTGACAGAAATCCAATCAAAATCTTCAATAATACTATATTTTTGATTATTTGTTAAAGGGTTTTGGTTTGGTTTGAGGTTTTTGGATTCTTTGATAGAGAAGATACGTAAGGAACAAGTTTGAAATTGATGATTTATATTATATTCATTCTTGTCCTTTATGGTAAATATACAAATGGTGTGTGTCATAACTTTGTCTTTGTAGTCATTTCACTTAAGGTTAAAATTGTAACAAAAAATAAATTAATTAATGGTATGCCTTGAGAGAAAATGTGGTGTGTAAATAGAGCCTATGTGTCCTATTCAAACATTTTTTTTTTTTAAAGATTGACCTATTTTAACCTTAATAATCCAAACCCAAAAATAACAACCCATATCCATTGTAAACCCCAGAACATATCAGTAGGGATGGCAATTTGAACCCGGCCCGACGGGGACCCGACCCCGATTAGAACTGGTTTTCTTCCGAAAATAATCCCCATAGGGCCGGGGATGGTATTGAAAATTAAATTCCCGTTAATTTTCGGGCCGGGGACGATGATAGATCCCTTGGCCCTGACCCCGGCCCGACCACGCCCCGAAATCCCCGAATAATGCCCGTATATACATATATAGTTTTAGGAGTGTATTGGATATATGTTTAGGAGTTCCACTGGACTATATTATATTATATTTACTATTATCTATATCTATACTATATATTAAGCAAAAAGGAGTTTTTTAACCCAAGGCCTATGAGAGCTTCAATATGCAATTCTAATTTTCTAATTTTTTGTTTTTTAAAAAAAAAATTACCTCAGCATTTATTAATTTTCCTCTCAACCACAAGACTTTTTTAACACTCTCTATAATTACTTGCAGTACCTTTTCCAAAACAAAATAATGATATT